CACTTGTGTGTGTTGGGTTTATTTTACATTTTTAAAGCTGGTGCTGAAGCCTAGGAGGTTGTTCTTTCAAGGAATTAAAATTCAGATATTTAAAAAAAAAAACAAAAAAAACAAAAAAACAACCAAACTAGTTGTTTGATTCTCTAGTAAAACTACTACAGGAATCATATACCTGATTTCCTCAATGCTGCAGAATTCCCAGGGCTATTCCCCCTCACACACACACACACGCGCTGTGAGCTCAGATCTTTGGATCAGTGTTACGTTGTGTGCCATGAGAACGTATGTATGATTTGGCTAAGTGTTTCTTACTCTAACAAATAAGAAACATTAGACCAATTTCTTATTGCATAAGACCCTAGCAAGTGGAAGTTGCTTACTAAATTCTGTTCTCTAGATGATGCTTTGACATCTTCATTGCTAACAGTATTTTAGTTATGTTTTGAAAGTTGAATATAGTTTATATTTTTAAGCTGCTTCTAATTCTACTAGTTTGGTTCTTCTACCTCCTTGGAAGGAGAATTCATTCCTCTTACATAAGATCAGGCTTGCTCTTAATATGAAAATTGCACAAAAGTTGATAGTTTCTGGCTCTGTGAATTTGTGGTATCACATGTCTGTGTCACTTTGCCAAGCATGATTTTGTCAGGAATTTAGGAGAGACTATAGCAAGCCTTGTATCTTGATTCAGTATAATTTTTATTTCTAGAACTGTTGCTTTCTTGCAGAATGTCAGGTCATACCTGGAACGAAAGGGTCGGAAAACTAGCTGTTGAGGAGCAAACACAGTGGTAGAGTTCTGATGCTAGTTTTCTGGTTTGGGTTACGATGGGTTTGAAGCAGGTTCTTAGTCCTCACGTTTACTTCCACACACTGCTTTCCTTTATATACAGAAAGAGTGCTGGCGGCTTCTTTGTGAAATAGGGATGGGGATATTCCCAACAGTCTCATCTGCACTGAAAAGCAGAGGAGACCAGATAGAGCTTGTCATGTATGGCTCAGAGTCCACTGAAAATAAAGAATAAATTCAGTTTGGCACTGATAAGATACTGCCTCTCTTTGAAAGCAGTGTGCTGATACTTAAAGTGCCTCATAGCCTTGATGTGAGCACTGGGTTTTCATTTGCATCTTGGTTTTACATTTATACATGCTGATGCATGCCCAAGCAGAGACTGTCCAGCTATGTAAAAGGACTGCCTTTGTTTGCTTTTTAAGTAAGGAGTATATTTTGGAAATAAACTTCCTTACCATTACTGCCTGAGGCATTAAACAGGTTCAGTACTCAACTTCAGTACTCAACACAGTGTATACGCAGCACAAAACTGCCATGTTGCGAACAGGTCATCGGCTTGTGTTTTTAATTTTCTTAACCAAAATGCTACTGCAGTACGAAACAAAATTTACCTTGGCAAATCTGCTGAGATGCACATCCAAATTCTCTGTCCTATGGTTCAACCTTTCATATTAACTGAATAGATTGCTGAGAAATTTAAGCAAAATGTGAATGGCCTAATTGCACAGGATTGTTTATTTGGGGAGGGGAAAAAAGGTTATTCTTGTTTCATGTGTAAGAATACATTTTCAACTGCGTCCTTTTAGGTAAACAGTCTTAGCAGTCTCCCTCTGTCAGATGCATCAGATACAGGTACTGTTCAAGCATCTGTTTTGTGCTGTCAGCTGTGTTTGCTTATATGATGCAAACTTTCCTTTTCCTTCTTAGTCTCTTGTGGGCAAACAGAAGTGCGCGCACATGCAAGGAACTTAACAGTGTGTGAACTTAACAGAGAGAGTGAGCGCATGCATGTGTTCTCTATGCTGAATTTAAACTTCCCTTAGACAGTTCTGATGTTCTTGAAATAATTGAGTTCTTAGGCAAATTTCCTATTCCTCTTTTAAGCCTCAAGTGAAACTAGTTTTGCCCCTCAATATACTGATAATGGGCTGTAGTAAGCTGGAGCTTTGGCATGGTGGTAATAAAATGACAGCTACTTTAGTCTTCTGAGCCATTTAAGTGAGGTTTGAGAGAGGTAAACATTCCTCTAGAAGAAGGGAAATGGGATGGAGGTGAATTAGAGTTTCTTAACATCAGCTGTTGCTTATCATTGATCCCTAACTAGAATACTAATCTCATACTTCTGCAGCAAAGGAGAACCCATTTCATGTACCTTTTAGGTCCTGAACTCCCCGAGGCAAGGGAGGGAACTTTTAAAGCTTAGAAATAAAATTGGCATGGTGGTAATAAAATGACAGCTACTTTAGTCTTCTGAGCCATTTAAGTGAGGTTTGAGAGAGGTAAACATTCCTCTAGAAGAAGGGAAATGGGATGGAGGTGAATTAGAGTTTCTTAACATCAGCTGTTGCTTATCATTGATCCCTAACTAGAATACTAATCTCATACTTCTGCCACAAAGGAGAACCCATTTCATGTACCTTTTAGGTCCTGAACTCCCCGAGGCAAGGGAGGGATTTTAGAGCTTAGAAATAAAATTTAAAAAAGGAGGGTGAAAAGGCAAATCATTTTTTTTTTTTTTTTTCTTTTGCATAGGCTATGAATCAAGTGCCGATGAGCTGCACATCAGTAGTTTGTCTCTGTATGGAAGCACTTCTCCCTGTGGGTGGATGGGTTGAGCTATTACAAAATTCAATATTAGGAATCTGTTTCTAGAAAATGTTATTTATTGCAAATGATAATGTATTGTAACTGGAACCATTTCTGAGCTGTAATTACTACATTTATGTAACTACTAATAAAGTTTTGTCTTTCCTTCTAGGAACTTGTCGGGTACTGTTTTAGACATGGTATTCTGTATTGGACTCAACACTCAAGTCAGGCTAATAGAGATATGTTCCATACTATAGCTTATGTCTGTACTCAAACATAAAAGCAGTGCAGTATCTGATCCCTTCCCTTCCTACTGACAAAAGCAAAACAGTATCTTTTTTCAGAGGTAACATAATTCAGTACATCAGAGAGCAGAAAAGAAAAAATTACTGCAGTTCACAGTAAGAGTTTTCACGTGGTACTTGTCCTTACTTGGTTTAATTGGCTGTGTGTAAATATTCACCAGCTGTCATGCCAAGTGTGGTGATTTCACAAGTTTTGTGGCTTGTTCTATAGCAAATCCAATACTTGAGTGTTTTAAGTACAATGGCTGCTTTGCAGTAATCAGAAATACTGGTGTGCAATATAACCCAAAATACTGCTGTTAGCTAGGGGTAGATTATGCTGACTGTTTCTGAACTGGAAAAGAAAAATCCATGCATCAGTGTGCGTGAAGTTTTGTGCTAAATCATGAGATACAAGTGTGCTTCTGTAAGGAAAAAACATACACCATAAAAGCAACTTTAAGTGTATTTGGATACATGGTGCCACAGTCTACGTGGTACCTCTTACATTCATACTTGACTCCTACAAGGGAATACTGGCTGTTGAATGAGCTGATGAGATACATAGTGTCCTTTGTTGAAGAATGGACTGCCCATTTGTTATTGCACTGTACATTTTGGTAACAGCAGTAGCCTCCCCCCTCCCCTTTGAGTAGGCTGATGCAAGCCTATAGACTTGTGCAACAGAAGATAATCAGTAGTGATTCCTAAACAACTTAAGCCAGTTGTGCTAAGTAGCTGCAGCATTCACTGATAAAAGTGAATAAACCACCAACTTCTTATGTCTTGGAAGGTCCTAGGCAGAGATTTTTGACATTGAAAACACTTGAGACAAGTGCTAAAATTTAACTTAGAGCTTCTGAACACCATACCTAAACCTTCTCCCTTAAGATAGCTCAACCCTTCCATAAGCAGTAGGGCTAGGACAAAGGGCATGACCAGTTACACTTACGACTCTGCCAGTTACAGTGAGACAGTTACTTCAATGCCAAGTCAAAGCATGGAGTTTCTTTTACTTACAGGATTGCCCAACTCCCAACATGTGCCTGATTGATTTAGAACAGTAAAAACTGTTTTATTCTGTGGAAACCATTTAAACTGCTGTTTATGTTCTGTGACTTCATCACAAAAGCACAATTGATCATAAAAGCATAAAATGTGTCTAAAAACACCAGTGTCTGGGAAATGGATAGGCTGCAGAACACTAGCCTGCTTAAACATTTCCTTGATCTTGGTGACAAGAGATAACAAAGTGCAATCTGCCAGCTACTGTAAACAAAATCAAGTACTAGATATTGGTCAGGCTTGATATACTTCTCAGAAAGACTGATTGTCTTTCTTCACTCGTATTGGATCAGTGTTACCAGCATCAAGAGCCTCCCTCGCTTACTCTGAGCACCCAAGGTAACTTTGCCAGCTTAGCATACCAATGGACAAGCATTACCTAGAGTGACTGGCCAAAAAAATCTTGTGCACTGTGGCTGGAGATAATTTCTCCCTATTTAAGCTAAAAATGTTAATATCTAGTAGAACAGGTAAACACAGTTTCTTAAGAGTTTATTACACAGAGAGGACAGGCAGTAGGGGTCAAACAACAGCTGTTTAAAGGGTAACATAAGAAAATAAAATGGAAATTGGCCATAACTAAGTCGGGTTGGAAATTTTAAGACAGTTTCTGAGGCTTCAAAACCTTATTAACTAAATGGAAATAAAAAAGTTTCCAAAAATCTATTTTAAATCTTAATAAATTAAGTAAAGAATTATGTAAGTAATCATATCCTGAAAGCAGGGAAAGGCACTCTGATCCACAAAGCCTGTATCTTGTCATAAAATGTTTGATGCAGCATAAAGGACTCGCATACAAAATGACTGATGGCATATTAGTATGTCAAAGTGGTCTCATCTACTTGATTTAGATTTGAGGGACTGTAATTGGGGTAACCAAAATCTTACACCTTATGAACATGTGGATGCAAAGAAGTGGTTTGTTTTTTTTTTTCCAGTGCTAAAGCTGGCAGAACAAAAAATTCTGTGCAAATCTGAGAGACTGAACTTAATGTGGCTGCTGTCAGTTTGTCAATTCAACATTGAATAAGGTCATAAACCATAAAATCCAGTGCTTTCACAGAAGTTATTTATTAACTGAAAACATTTTTCATCACAGTTTTAATATCCAGAAATGACTAAACTTAACTATCGTAAGTGTAATCAACATAACTGAGGTGTGAGAATTCAAGTATATCTTTTGTTAAAGAATCACAGCTTTTGCTATGAAGACAACTTTAAGATTATTCTGTGCTTAACTGATGTAGACCTTACTGACACAAGAATACTATGCTGGAATCCAACCACAATCCAATCTAGGCAAAGTATTTTTAAAGTTTATTACATACCTTATCTTTAATTATGGTTTGTGCTTGTTATCAGGCACAGTAAAAGGTATTATTTGCTAGAAAAAAAAGTAAACATTTACTCATTAATTTTAACAGTGCTATTCCAGAAAAGACATCAAGATTTTAAATGCACCGATGCATCAGATCAATAACTTTGCAATGAATAGAGCAGCGAGTTAAAGAATTTATCCTCCAACTGCACTGTTCCAAGTACACCCACATTCAAGACTGCACTGTCATACAGCAGTAAATGAGGTAACTTTAATTTTGACCTTACACTGCTGTTCACAGGCAGACGTATTTTAAGTATGTGCAATTTCAGTGGCAGATATTCTACCTGTGTACAATACCTGTAAGTGTGACTGTATCACTGTATTGTAGTACCCAAGCACCAAGTTATGACCTTCTTCTACCTAGTTACTCTTTCCAATAAGAAACAAACACGTATTGGCTGGCAAACAGCTCCCTCTTCCACAACACTGTATTCCCCAAATTCAGGCAGCCTGTGCGCTCAATAGTGTAAGCTTAGAAGTTGGCGATAAAGTTTCTTGCAACTAGTGTAGAAATAGGCCATGCTTTTTTTGTTCTTGACAACAAGCATGTATGCTGCGACTGGTAACAGTATTAAGTCCTCACTATCTTAAATGTGCATTTTTGATGCATTGGAAATCACTGGACGGGCAGTAAGTATCCTTTAACCATGCTTCGGCTGGCATGATGCACACACACTCTACTGACAGATAATGTGCTCCAGACTTACCTAGTCTCAAGTGTTACACAAATATAACCATAAAAAATATTTAGAAATAATAAGTAGCAGTCAATGCTACCTTATGCACGCTTTAAAAAAATCCCATGAAACTGTTCTGGCTTGCTTCCCCCCCGCCTCCCCCCCAAGTCTTGCGTTACCTGGTACCTCTTTGCCTGATTGGAATAAAATATCTTAAAATATCCCATTTCATAGGGTACATTCATAAGTGTATAGGAGGAAGAGCTCTGTTGCCTTCTTTTATTTATCTTTAATAATTAAATGAGTAAAGCCCCACCAAATAGTTAATCAACACAGGAAACAAAATTTATTCCCCTTAGCCTCTGCAGTGCTGATTTATTTGCCAAATTAACATTGCATGTTTTTTAAAGTACTTTTTCTGACTACCATTAAGATAATGTTTAAACAGCGTTGTTTTATTTCATACTTAGGAAGCTTTACATCATCTTTTGAAGATGACAAAATAGGTGATGTGTAGATGTCTCACCTCTAATCACTCCTATTTAAGTCTTTATTAGGTCACAAGTTAGCCAAGTTCAAAGGTTTTTAAACCTTCCTCCCTAATGGACATTCACCTCTGTAACCACAAATCCAATTCAAGGCACAAAGCCCATAGGAATGGAACCATCTATCTGCTCATGTTCCTTGGAGGTGGTGAGTAACGTTCCTTTAGACACTGAGCAACATTTACATCAGCGACTGTACTTCTACCCAAGGAGGGTCACGTTCTTTTCACGGAAGGGAGTTTATCATCGTGTCACCACTTGTGCTTCCTTCACACAGCCCTTATAGTGTCCCCTTACACTTCTGCAAGTTATTCCTGCAAGTAAGCATCCCATCTTCCTCCTGCTACTCCAGCAACTCCTTGTCCTGGACTGTCCTGTTCCCAGGACTGCTGGGGCTCACAAACATCAAACAAGGGCCATATTTGATCCCAGGCGTGCAAGCTGTTAGGCACAAATTACACCTCTTTGCTCAGAAGCCCAAAGCTGAACAGGTGGCAGCTCTGCAGCCAACATTAACGTGCACTGAAAAAGCTGTCTGTTTGCCTGCATGGATACCTACCTGTAGCTAAAAGCAATTCCTCACCTTTCACAAGCATCAGATTCTCCCACAATTAAAAAAAAAAAAGACACGCCTGCTTCTAAAAGAAGGTCACAAAATCACATTAGAAAATGTGAGTATTTACACAAAATTCTAAAGGGAGGCTGCCATCCCTGAAGCCTCCCACATCCACACATTAGAGGCAGTAGAAAATGGTGGTCGTTTGCCCTTGCCATAGGTTATGATCTATTTTCATTACGCACAAGTCTCCCAAGTCCTCCCAGTTACACGGGTAATCCAAGAGTAATAAATGTGCATTCTTCCCTACTCCTTACTAAAAATGATGGACGTTGTGATCACATTGCTGAAAAACTGAATGTATAAATAAAGAATGTGTAAAAAGATATGGCAGCACAGAATGCTCTAAATATCTCTACACATACAGAACAGGGTTGCTTAGTTTTAAAGAAGGTAGAAGATGCATTCATACATATTTCTGGTTCAAGAAGCTTATTAAAACTACAGCACTCTTTTCCAAGCTGTTGTGATTGTGCTTTTTGAAGATTTTTATAAGCCTCCAAAGCAGACATATTTTATTTCTAAGTATTCATCAATGCCATATTTTGAACCTTCTCGCCCTAAGCCAGACTGTTTTACCCCACCAAAAGGACTCTCCACTGAGGAGACTATGCCTTCATTAACACCAACCATTCCAACTTCCAGCTGTTCTGCAACTCTCCAGATCTGAGCTGGATCTTGGGAGTAGAAATATCCTGCCGTGCAGACACAGAGATACAGGAATGAAAATTACAATCAGGAAGAACAATTGCAGAAGACTGTGAAAAAGAGACTTACTGACATTAAAAATCGTCACCCCATAACACTAAAGCTCATAAAACCACAAACACATTTATCTGACAGAGACATACCTGCTAAACCCACATTAGCTGCATTTGCTATAGCAATAGCTTCTGCTTCAGTCTCAAATCTGTCAATGTAAAGAGAAAAAACACAAATGAGGCCTGCAGTTCATCTACTGTCTTGCTGACTTACTGACAAGAAGCAGCCTTATCAGAAATAAAAAAGTGAAGATGCAGTTTTTTTCCAAAAGTATATTTTAAACATCTAATTTAATTTTCACTTTGAAACAATGGAGGAGTTTCTACCACTTCTCTTAATTTAAACTGCAGTTAAGTAGTTAAGATTGCCTTTATCCTCCCTAGATAGTGGTAGCTAAAACATTTACTTCACGTGGGTTAGCCCACCAATTTCCCCAACTACACAAGCATTCTCAACTTTGAGAGATAACCGTATGTTCTTCCATCACATCCAATTGCTCCGGGCGGAGACAGGGAAGGTTTTAAGGAGAAAAGAGAGCTCTAAGTCATCCTCTGTCAGAAAAACTTAGGACTAGCAAAATCACATGACAAACTGCAAAGTCCTGCCTCCTACTTCATACCACAAATCATGAAGTTGATGAAGGTTTTGCTGCTATCTACCCTTGCTTAAATGCTGATACAATTTAAAAGGAAATAATTTTCCAAAAGTTGCAGAGATGCTAAAATCAGGTCGAGAAAGAAACAAATGAACCACATATCCAAAGTAAGTTTTCACATGTGTACCCCAGTCTTACTACAAGACTTGTGTGATCGTACAAAAATATCTTTTGGCAAACTGTCATTCAAATCTTATTTATTCAAAATAATCTTTCATTTTTAATTGCAATTTTTAATCTGGAAAATGAATAATCTTACTTGATAACTGGTGCTAAAGGGCCAAATGTCTCCTCTTGGGTGCAAAGCATTTTTGTTGTAACGTTACTAAGTAATGTTGGCTCAAAGAAATTCTTCCCCAAGCTGTGTCGTTTCCCTCCAGTCACAACAGATGCTCCTTGAGAAACTGCATCATTAATGTGTCTCTCTACCTGAGGTATGCAAAACAAAAATTTCAAAGTCAGCATTTAGGAATGAACAATAGTATATTTTCCACTGAAGAAATAATACTCTCCAGTATTAAGTAGAAGATTTTGAAGAGAGGTTTATACTTTGCGTAAGACCATTTGCAGTATTATTTAAAATTTCTCTTGAATTTTTATTTCTCTCAGTCTGACATAATTTCAGAGGGATAAATTATGAGTATGGCCACAGTCTTGTGGATATTAAAGATTCAGCTTTTCTGTTGAAATGAAAAGATTACATCCAACATGAGAAAAAGTCTTTGCGGGACTAGGAAGTACACCTGGTATCGGTGATCAAGCACAATGAAAACAGAAGTACATGACTGTCATTTAAAGAGAAACAGACAACTTTCAAGACGGTACTGGCAAGAACATTTTCCACCCCCTACATCTACAATTCATCCAACGACAAGAAAGTAATGAGAAGACTGAAGTAGCAGTCTCCACCTATAATACTGTCCTTTGAAATTACAGAAAGGCAAATAAGTGACTATATACAGTGCTTGCTTATTTGTATATATAGATGTATATGATACACACACACTATACTTCTGTGATGCACAAAGGGAAGGCATGAAGGAAAGAAATCAAAGTACTGTATCCTTTGTCTCTCAAATAACTCTGAATATTTTCATATTCTATTATTTTATAAACAGAAAGAATCTGGCAGCATTCAAGTATAATGGGATTCAAACCAAGCCCAAATATAACTGAGCCATAGCATCTTAGAAAGTATGAACCACATAATTTAGTAATCTTTAACCTTAGAAAGGGTGAAATACTATAGAAAAAGTGACTTATTGCGATTAAAAAAAATCTCCTGGAGTCACGAGTCATCCAAAACAGAAGATCCAAACCATGCATGTAAGGTTTCAAGCGATTACAACACCCAGAGCTCTGGTATTTTTAACCTCAATGTATTATTCTGCTTAGCTTTTGCCAAACAGAGGCACTGTTCTTCAAAGTAAGTTGTCATTCACAGTGCTTCAGAATTGCAGGATCACCACATAACTCTCACAGTGTATCCAATTGCAGTAAATGTTCTTGCGAATGGCTAGGAAGTAATCAGAAGGAATCAGTTTCTCCTAAAGGAGGAATCTCTTTTTTCCCTTAGTGGAAATAGGATGATACATTAACTGGCCACACCGGTTCGTCTATATGCATATGTGGACTTGGAGGACAGAACACACTTCCAGCCACACTGCAAATACATTCTAACAAAACAAGCATGAAAAAAGTGAAATATAAATCTAAAGTTACATTATGGATCATATAAAGGAAATTAAGATGTCAAAAATGAAATCTTTTATTTATACCTTCTCCACTGCTTTTTCATTAATTAGTGGCCCTTGGGTAGTTTTTGCATCAAATCCACTTCCGACGTGTAGTTCTCTCTCTATAGCTTTAGCAAACTTTTCCACAAATTTGTCATGGATTCCCTTTTGCACCAGGAAACGGTTTGTGCAAACACAGGTCTGAAAACAAACATGAAAAGGAAAAACAAACAGTAGTTTATATTGTATTTAAGCTATCCGTCAGGTTACTACAGTGATCTGTCCCTCTGCCTCTTCTCCATCATCCTAAATTGTTACCTAGCTTTGCCATTTCTTTCATCACCCCTCTTACTTTAGAAATACAACTTCAACAAGCTGTCAGTATGTGTGAAACACGCCACACTACTAAATTTAACTCGCTTACGCTGGGAAAAGTTTTGTGAGTTCTGTGGACTCTGATATATGGATCAACCAAGGTCCAGAAGCTGCAAGAAACACCTTCTAATTAGACTGCAGAATGCTGGACTGAACAGCAGAACCTCAAATCACACTTGGTGGTGTGGGGTCTTTTTTTCTAACTCCTTCATTAATCGAGTTTGAGCTTGCTTTCTTCCTGGAATTATTTTTAAGTGCTTTCAGTGGCCTACTTACTTGTACTACCCCTTTGCTCTGACTGCATCCTATTTTGATTGCTACAGTCTCTCAAAAGTAACAGCTACTTTGTACTTCTATGCAGCAGAAGAGGTGCCTTTTATGTTAGACCTTGTCCAATCTGTGTCTGATCACCCAGTGGTCCTTGTCCACATTCCATTCTGTTTCCTTTCTTTCTTCCCAAGATTAGTCTTTTCTTCTTGTGTTATTCAAGCAACATTTTCCCAACCAAATGACCTCCCAATCCTACCAAAAACTTGCTGCTTCTCCAAAGTTGGAGTTTGTCAACTTCATGTTCACGTGTAGAGGTGATACTCGTAAGGTTGGAACAAGTCTCCACACAGCCCTGCTCAGCTGACTGTTCTGGAAAGTGATGCTCTTAATATTTTTTTGATTCTAAGTAAAATACGTTTGAAGCAATGTACACTTGAATCCTGTCTGTCACTTTTTTTAAGCTACTCGCTGTGGAAAAATCTAGCCATGAGTGTCTTAACAGATTTCAATCCCCTTAACTCCTGCTGGGTGCCTTCAGAACACAAAAAAAAGACTTGAATCGAACACACAATCTTAAAGAGAGAAACATTTATCATGAGACTTGAAGCCATTATTTTAAGAAATGGCTAGGCACATGTTATAAAACATAATCCTGAGAACTGAGGCACGATGGTGTCTTCACAGCTCTAGTTTTCCAATTAATTTAATGCTAACAAAGCATATGACGAAATGCCTTATCACTTTCTCATGCTCTTGCGAGGGGTCCTAGTGAACATCCTCCTTCTCAGTGATACTATTGACTGCCATGCATGTTGTGAAAGTACATGGGATTTTACAGTGTTGTTATTTAGACTTGCTGATAACTGGCTTGAGTGCCCAGAGCCATGTGTGACTCCAGCATCTCTCTCTTCACAATGAAGTGTTCTATGCTTTCCTTCTACATAAAATAGCTTATTTACAGCTTAAACTATATGTACAGCTCTTCACTTTCCAGAAACAAGGACAAAAAGGTTACTCTTACCTGCCCTGAGTTTCTATACTTAGAAGCAAGGGCTCCTGCAACAGCACGGTCCACATTGGCGCTGTCAAACACTATAAAAGGAGCATGGCCTCCAAGCTCCATGGAAACTCGCTTCACAGTGCCAGCTGCGTGTTTCAGCAGTATCTGTAGGCAACAGAGGAGACACAGAAATTTGTACCTCTACCAGATGTGAACTACGAAACCACAGATGGAAGGCAGTGAAAAACTAACTCTGGCAGGGAATTAATCTGCATCTTCTTTATAATGCTAGACCATCTGTTTTCTCCTATGACAAAAACAAGGACTAATTTCCTTCATTAAAATCTTTAGAGATGAAATTCTGGCCAAGAAATAATGAAGAGAAAGATTTTCATCAAATTCAGTTCAGGTCAGGCTTTTATACACTAATATTGTCACTCTTGTTTGCTTGTTCTTTTCTTTTTTGGTAATAAAAATCTTGACTACTCTTACAAAATTTTTCCAAGATCTGACAGAATTTGGGATTAAGATTTGCTTTGATATCAGACTTTTTCTTCATTCTGCATACGGCCATTCCATAGAATTCCACCATCTTCTGCAGTTTTATTGATTTCATTAGAGATGGTGACGAGTAAGATTGCTTATTGACTAAGGCTGATAGGAGAGATGCAAGGGCCTCCCTTCTCTAACACTTTCTCTCAACTGCAGAAGCCATTCCTGAATAGTACCTTTGAAACTCAATTTCAGTGTTCTTATTAGTACGTTGTCACCCTATGACATGAAACAAGAGCATCTTGTACAGAACTGTTCACATTATAATTTAATAAAGGGCAATTATCCGGAAGTTGCACACAGGCATCCTCCTGCAAAGTACTGATATTAAACAGGCAGCATCTCAAGAAGTACACAATTATTTGGACAATCTGTGTACAGTAGCCAGAAAAGAAGGTGGCTCTGTATAAAGACACACACTTTCCCCCTACCTTTCCGGTATAACCACAGTAATAATCTTCAAGGATATTCTGTGCACTTATGTACCTTTCCTGTTGCTGTGGAGCCAGTAAAAGATATTTTGGCTACCAATGGATCAGTGCACAAAACTTCCCCTACAGCTGGTGTCTGTTGTCTGGAACAAGGAACAACATTATACACTCCTGCTGGAATTCCAGCCTGGTTTGCAAGCTGCAACAAAAGAAACACAGAATTTGCATCACCAGTGCATTTTGTATGAGGAATAGTCACTTAATGTTTGTTTATTGTTTTGAAGAAACCAGTCTGTAAGTCAGTGGAAGCCAAAACTGCGCCGCACAACTAATAACACATGCCAAGGTGTCAAGAGAGCAGCTTCGCTCCAGTTTAAGCTGGATGTCATTCAAAGTCACCAAAGGAAAGATATAAAGATGTTTTGTGTAGTTAAATGGCCAGGTCCTCTTTGAGGCTCTAGACCACACTATAGGCAACTTTCAAAGATTCTTACTAAACTAAAACCTCTGGATCAATTCAGCCAACTTGTCCTTCCTGCATGTATGAAGTTGGCCAAAGTAATCTTCGAAGCCCATCTGATTCCCCGTTTACAGCTTCAGTCCATTGCTAAGGTAAAGCTTAGCATAAAAGCTCACCTCCCCAAGAGCTAATGCTGATAAAGGTGTGTCCTCTGCAGGTTTCACTACCACCGTACAGCCAGCTGCCAGAGCTGCACCAACCTTCCGGGTAATCATAGCGCTGGGGAAATTCCACTAGGATGAGAGAGAAAAGTACAATCAAACTTGTGAAAATCTTGCCTCCCGTTTTTGCAGAAATAGCTGACTGTAATTTCTGTAATTATGTGATAACCTAAACAGACCTGCATGATGTGCTTTGTCCTAAGTGAACATTACAAAGAAGCACTGCCAATCCAGAAAGAAGTGAGTACAAGGTAGAAATGAAACTTTACAGGGGTGTTTCCTGGGCAGGAGGAGCCGTAAGGCCCCATGCTGTGGGCTGAGCTGAAAACCTTCATATGATTTGAAAAATTCAGCTGTGCTTACTGGGGTTATAATGGCTGCCACTCCTACTGGCTGCTTCAGCACCAGGATTCTTCTGTCTTTTGCAGACGCTGGAATGACATCACCATAAACCCGGCGAGCTTCCTCCGCAAACCACTCCAGAAATGAGGCAGAATACAGGATTTCACCCTGTGCTTCTTTCAGAGGCTTCCCCTTTGATTAAATCAGATTGAAGATACACTGTAAGCAGCAGACTGAAGCGATAAAAACAAATTCAAGTCATTTTGGAGTTTCTGTTCTTTTCAGAGTACTTTATAATCCCCTATCATGTACGCTGTAGTCTCCAAAAATGATTATATGATTGCAGCAGCAATAGTTGTGTGGCTTCAATATACCACCATTGTATAGTCAACATTTTGTATGTTGTGCCTGGATTCATACCTGCCCAAAACAAGGAGCTGAAATAGCAAATGTAGCATGTGTTTATTTACAAACTCTGCAGTTAGCTGCTATTACCATTCTGAAAAAGATGCAAATCATGGCAAAACAGTTACAAGTTTATGCCAGGGAGACTTGTTTTTGGGACTATTACTTTGGACTACCTCCAGGTCTGATCCCGTGGACTGAACCTGGATTCATACCTGCCCAAAACAAGGAGCTGAAATAGCAAATGTAGCATGTGTTTATTTACAAACTCTGCAGTTAGCTGCTATTACCATTCTGAAAAAGATGCAAATCATGGCAAAACAGTTACAAGTTTATGCCAGGGAGACTTGTTTTTGGGACTATTACTTTGGACTACCTCCAGGTCTGATCCCGTGGACTGAACAGCCGTTAGGCTGGGACACTATGCCAGGGAGACTTGTTTTTGGGACTATTACTTTGGACTACCTCCAGGTCTGATCCCGTGGACTGAACAGCCGTTAGCAGCTGGGACACCACAGAGGAGCTGCTGACGTATCTTCTAGCATGGTTTTATCCAAAAGGATATCAGTCTGTGAGCTCCCAGACCGCTCTGTGATGCAAACCAAAGCACACTGAGTGAATCCAACTTGGAGGCTTGCTTTAACAGTACTGCAATTTTTTCTGAGTCAATGAAACCGATAAAACACAAACATTTCTGCCATGAAGACCATGGTTTAGGTTGACGTATGCTTTTGCACATCATGAAGCACAACGTGGGTCTGATTTCCACTGGCTTGTTAGGTATTGTTGTCTTCAAAATAATGCATTGTATGTATGCCAGAAATAGAAAAGTTTGAAACGTTATCCATTGACCTAACAGAGCGATGTGAACGCACAACGCATCCGCTAGGCTCAACTTAAAAGTAATAAAAAAAGATATGGTGGCTAACTGGTGAAATGCATACAGGGTGTTTTGATGGCTGTCAGTGTTATTTCAATGTTAAGCATCCCGGCTGAATGCTAGCACAGGCCAGAACCCATGCTGACAGGGGCAGCCGCCACCGCGCCGCTCCCCCGGGGCAGGGGGGGCCCCCCCCGCCGTACTCACGTTCTCGGCCGTTATGATCGTCGCCAGCTCGTCCTTGTTCTCCATCATCAGCTCGTACCATCTGCGGAGGCGCACGCTCCTCTCCTGGGAAGAGAGAAGGCTGCCGTGGCCGGCGCCCGCAGGGAGGACGCGGCGCCTGGGACGAGCTTCTCCGAGGGGAAATCGAAGCCCCGGAAGGTCCTCGGGGCGGACCCGCAGCCCGCCGGGGCACGGGCGGCCCTCGCCGGACCTGACCTCCCCGCCCCGGCCGCC